TCGTATCCGCTTCTCGGTATCCTCTCGTAGCTGTATCTTATCTCGTATTTCCTCAGTCTCGTCTTCGTCCGATTGCACGGAGTCGAACACTGTTGCGCTCTCTCTGTCTCTGTCTCTGTGTGTCTCTCTCTCTCTCTCTCTCTCTCTCTCTCTCTCTCTCTCTCTCTCTCTCTCTCTCTCTCTCTCTCTCTCTCTCTCTCTCTCTCTCTCTCTCTCTCTCTCTCTGTCACTCACTCACTCACTCACTCGCGCGCGCACTCACCGACTCATTCGCTCACTTTCTCTCTTTCTCGCATTCACTCCTTCCTTCCTCCCCGCCCACTTCCCTCCTCACCACACCACCCATCACCTCCTCCCCCTCCCCCCCTTTCACCTGCCCCCATCAGCCCTGAGAGTTTGCCACCACCTCGGAAGATCGGAAGCGACCCAATACCTTTTCTGTGATGGGTCACGGCCGTCGTGAGGGGGGGAGGGAGGGATGGAGGGGGGGAGGGGGAGGCGAGGGAGAATGGAGGATTTTGCGAGTGTCACCCGATAGTAGGGCGGGGTCAGGGTGCCCGTGGCGATGCTGTTGGGGCGGGGCGGTGGGGGTTGGGTGGGTGGGTGGTGCTGGGGGGAGGGTGGGGGGAGGAGTAGATGCGGAGGGAGCGAATGGTGCCACGTGTTGTTGTTTTCGTTGTTGTTGGTGTTGATTGCGTCGATTGTTTGTCCGTATGTACTCCTTGCGTGTGTCTGCTTGGTTAGTGTGTGAGTGTTGGTAAGTGAGCGCGCGCCCGTGCGTATTTACGTACGTGTCCTCTGCGTTTGTGCAAAACAACACGTACCATTACGCCCGAACAGTTCGAAACGAGAACGATATTTCCCAGCCAAGGTTAGGCAACAGCTGTGCGGATAACACCCGCTGCCATGCTTATCTGTTTTGAGCCGTTTTTTCCCCCTGCCCCACTTTCGATTCGCCGTTTCACCTCGTCTGTCTAATCACGCCGCATTACCTCTTTTAGCTTAGGCGGGAGATGAAGGCGAGAGAAGGGGTAGGGGGGGGGGGAAGAACGAGAGGGAGGAGGGGGGGGGTTGTAGGTGCTTACAGAGGTGGAGGAGGAGGAGGAGGAGGAGGAGGACGGGAAGGGAAGAACAGGCAGAGGGGAAGCTTGTAGAATGGCTGGGTAAACAGATAGACAGACAGACGGATGGGCCAACCGGCAAGTGAGCAAATGAACGGAGGAGGGAAATAGAAGCACAGGGGTTAACAGTACGAAAGGTGTGGGCGAACTTGAAGACTTAGCGCTCGCCTCGCCTCCGCTGGGCAGTAGCAGTAGCTTCGCCCAAGGTACGAAGTGGTCGCGGTGACCGTCTCCCCCTCCCCTCTCCCCCTCCCTCGGCCACCCCTTCCCCAACCCCATCCTTCTCTCTCTCTTCTCTCTCCCCCTCTCTCCCTCCCTCCCTGCCTCCCTTCCCCATCGATAGCCCTCCGCCCTACCTTGCGCTGCCCTCTGGATACGGTCGCCGCTACCTCCTCCCCGGGGGGCATCGTGGGAGGAGGGGAAGGGGGGGGAAGCAGGAGGGGAGAGGAGCAGGAGGGGAGAGGAGCAGGAGGGGAGAAGAGCAGGAGGAGAAGGAGAGAGAGAGAGGGAGGGAGGAGTCGGAGGGGAAGGGGAGAGAGCATGAGGAAGAAAGAGGAGAGAGGTGAAAGATTTAGGGGGTTTTCGTTCCCCGTCTCTCTCTGGCTCAGTTCAGATATTTTATTTATCTGTTCATTTGGGTTAATAAGGGTTTATATTCTATCACCCGTTTGTTTCAGTATTTTAGCTGTAAAAAGAGAGTGATAAGAAAGGAAATTGAAAAATAAAATAATGAAAAAAAGACAGCAAGGTTAAAAGAATTCTTGGTGACAAAAACTAAGATTCGAGTGAAACACTTGTTATCAATAAACAGATTGCAAGTCACTCAATCGAGCCGAGGTGACATCCAGTTGTTAGTCGAAAGAATAATTTTCCAGTAAGCGTTTCGGGGTTGATGTAGGGGGAGGAGGGGGGGGAGGTCAGCAAGGTTGTATCGAGGGGAAAGTAATGAAGTTGAATCGAATCGAGATGGAGTGAGGGGGGGGGGAGGTGGAATTAGGGTGGATTGATGGATGGGAGGTGGAGGAGGAGGAGGAGGAGGAGGAGGCGGGGATGGGGTTTGGAAATGTGGAGGATTGAGGCGATATTGGGATAGGTCAGTGGACGGGGATGACTGTGATGGAAGAGATAAGGGGGTAAAGAGACGGTAAGATTCAGCAGCAATATGATTTTCGCATGGGGAGGGAGGAGAATGGATGTAGCCACCACGCGCCGCCACCGCCGTTCCCGCTGCTTCCACAGGTGTTACACTTTGACTCAGCTTACAGCACACACGCACACGCACAACAACACATACATAGATATACACACAGCACACACACAGTAAACACACACATTCTCACACGCACATACACTCTCACACACAAATACAAAAATAAACA